CCAAAATATTACCCCAATCGCATCCAGATATTACCTAATGTTTAATTAACAAAATATAAGGGTATTCAATATTCATGCCTATTTTCATATAGTTAGGGTTATACATAATGAACTATTATTATGTTTGTAGGTAGGTAGTCGTATTGATGCGAATGGTTGATTTGTTGCAATAATTGGGGCTTTCTTCTAATTATTTTTCTTCACCCATTACTAATATATTGGGTCGGGCATCATAGATAGTTAAAAACTATTAGTTATACCTATACCTATTACCTCCGTAGAGCTTTGTCACTCCACGTCTTTATTTATTTTGAATATAAACGCCGAACGGCTATTGTATTGCAACGGATAATAATATAGTAAGATACACTTAATAAGAAATTATAGTGAAACATTAATAATAATAACAGATTACACAAAAGATGATAATTTATTTAAGTAAATGTAAATACTATAGGGTGTGGAGAGAGGTCATTCCAAGTTCACCAACCTAAGTATGAAGTTAACCTAAGTGAAGTTGAGTGAGATAGAATATAAAAAGGAGTTTGGTTTCTGGTGTTGTGAAAGGGAACTTAAAAAGAAACATTTTTAGAGAGGTCAGGAGCATCTAATAAATTATTAAGGAATCAGAGAATAAACGGAAATCCACATCGTTCCGCCATGAAGTCAGGGACTTTGAAGGAAAATTCAAGATGGCAGAAATAAAGGTGTAACAAGTTAAGTTTGAAAGCGGCATATGTTAAGAATCTATGCTGGACACACTCAATTCGTATTTAGTCTTTAGCAAGATAAGAATATCAAATTGCCAAGTAACAGCGCTATACTCTATACTAATTGGTCGAACAAGAGCATAATACAAAGAACGAAGAGAATAAGCTGAACTGAAGAGCTTATCTTCTTAACTCACAATAGCTGTTTTCATGTCTTCCTCTGCCTCATTATCTTTCTACATTAATTTTTAGAACATTTATATATCGTGGTAATCGACCGTAATTTTGGAATCCTAACTGAATGTGTTGGTTTTAATTCAAATATTAACATTGCAATAACCAAAATTTATCTGTATCTATAGTAATATGTAGGCAGTAGGTACCTACTCTTTTTTGCCAATAGCTAATAGTGATTATTGATTAGGTATGAATAAGTATAAGACTGGAATAATTTTACTTTTTCGTCGGGCATCGAGTAAATTCCAATGACGTTTGATATTTCTGTTTTGCCAAAGCGTCCGAGCTGACCACGGAGCTTTAATCCAGTAAATGTTTTTTCCATTCTCCAAAATTTTAAGTGCCCTGACCCCGCAGTTACCAAATGTTCAGATATAAAGTTGGAAAATCTACAAACGTATACATCCTGATTGAAAGACTTGGTCCTCAAAATTATTTTCGATTTTTTCCAATCCCAAATTGTAAGTGTATTATCGGGTTCCCCTGCTTGTGAACACAAATATTCACCATTTTGGCTGAAAATAAAAATTGAATTCATATATTATAGGTAGGTACTCGGAAGGGAGCAGACACATTAAATTACACTTTTCATGATAATAAATGCAATATTTTTGTGGGTACAAAAAATTGTCCAATTAAAAAATTAATTCAGTCAAATTGTACCTAACCTTTAGGTACCTATCATTGTACCAATATAGTCAATAGCAATTGCCAATTAGTATTGATATTGATTATTGATTAGCATTGACATACTAGTACAGTAGTACCTACCTATACATAGTAAATACATTAGTATAGGTAGTCAATTTTCAATTTATTTAGTTTGTTTTTTTCCATAAATGTCAATAAAATATATTCCATTGTGTCAAAAATCTTGAAAAAATAATATAATGTTCCTAATAAGTCAATAAAATAACAATTTAAATATTTTAAAAATACATATAGGCACCTACGCATGATTTTCTTTTACATGCATTTTAAGTTCAAATTTTGAGAAAATCATCAAAATTTCGAAAATTCAAAAGTTATTTTTAAGTTCATAGTTTACTCTAATTCTTATAACCAAGGATTAAACATTTTAAACAACATAACTTTAACCAAATATTTAAATATTACCTATAATTCAAATTATTATTCATGTAATACATATATTATATATTAATATCTTATATAATACCTATAAGACAACCAATTATATTGTTGTTCGGCACTGCCTTTGAGAACATTAACTATTTCAAATGTTGGCCATTCATACACAATAATCAGTGGATTACTGCAATTTTCTCCTACTGCAATGTGGCTCAAAACGGGATTTTTCTAATTTAACAAAAATGAATTATCATCAACTTACTGTTATATAAAAGCTCTAAAAAATATTTAAATTAACTTACAGCTATATGTCCTATTCCTCCATTACCAGCACTTTTTCTAAAATTCAATTTTCCTTCATTGATATCAAACATAATTATATAACTACCTGCTGCATACACAACTGTATGCGTGTCTGCAGCACATATATTAAACATTTTAGAACAGCAATCATAGCCAAAAGAATGACTTGGGTATAGAGCTTAAGGATTTTTATCTTCTGAAATACTACCACTACACACAATTAATAGAGTAATAAGGTAACAAGTTACCTACTTGCTTATGATCAGGGCTCGGGACTTACAGCACTTAAAATCATTAAAATAGGCGCTTAAAGACATCATTATAATCACTTAAATAAGTATTTAAAAAATTTTAATTTAACTAAAAATAAAAAAAAAAACAAAAAAAAATCTTTATCTTTATAAAACAAACAAAATTAAACTTCACTTTCGAGACTTTAAGAATTTTGAGAAATTTTCCTGGGATTTTCTGAAAAATAAATTGTAAACGATATTTACAAAATATAGTTGAAAAAAAATTATTTATTTATTAAATTCTCGACAACATAAATAAGATAAGAATTATTTTTTCAATTTTAATTCCATCAAACACAACTTTGCAGGAGAAAACATACAAAAGTAGAAAAACTGGTCAAAAAGCAAAAATAATCAGAAAAGCTGAAAATAAGTATATTTTTGAAAAATCGCTGAAAACGGCAAAAAAAAGTAATTTCATACTTCATAATTTAACGTGTTGTAACATGACATGCACTTCATGCACTCTGTTACATTTTAAGTCAATCCATAAAAATAAGCAAATGCTTTAAGTCCCAAGCACTGTTAATGATGGTATGGCAGTTTCTGGAATCACTCTATAAATTAACTTGTATTTATAAAAAAAAAGATTTTTAGTACCAACTTATCATTTTATATTATATAATATCATCTACCACACTTAATTAGCAAACCAATACTTATTGATTATAGATATTTAAATTTTTATAAAAACTGTAATTAGCTAAGTATAGACTGTACCTACGACTAAACATTAAAATTTTTATCTGATAAAGGATACTGAAGTTGTAATATATTTTCATCCATTGTACATCGTACACTTTTAATTGGTTTGGATATGAAATCACTACTATTTAACAAACAATTTTGATCATCAATTTTTGGTTCTTCGGTGATGTGTTCATCATATTCTTCATGATAAAACATTTTTTAAAGAGTACCTAATTTTAAATGCATCAAAGAAATCAAATATAATAATAACAACAGTTCTGTTGCCTAGCAAATAATCCTGCATGAGTAAATATTAAGTTTGATCAATAACATGTGGAAGAATTTAAATTATCTAAGCGGAAAATTATTCATCTAAACCAGGGATGGCAAACCTTTTGAACACTGCGTACCCAAAATTACTTTTTTTTTTTAGAGCGTGCCATGAAAAAAATATTAAAAATATTGTATTTTGTTATACCATAATTTGATTGTATAATTAATGTATTAGTATAAAAAGGTTAGCTTAGGTTATTATAGGTCCTATAATATTATATGTTATATAATAGTAAAAATGTTGCCTACACGTCACGTGCCTACAAAATCTTTTTGCATGCCACCTTGGGCAAGCGTGCCACGGATTTGCCATCCTTGATCTAGACTCTAGGTAATATTATAACATTTGTAACACAGTTATTTGCTAAATTTTATATATTTATATCTTAGGACACAATAAAGATTATTGCATTCAAATTTTTAACAAAATTATATACTTTTTACATAGAAATATTATTTTTAAACATTTAAAATTATAACACAAAGATGTAACAATATAATACAATTTTCAGAATGTATATACATAAATGTACTACATATTCAAATTGAATAACTTATTAAGTAGGTATGAACTATACAAATTGTTAAACTTAACACCATGTTCAAAAATATTAACATCATATACTTATTTTGGAATCCACATACATTGCATAATTATTAATATATAACATCTTCAAAAATATACAAGATCCAATATAACTAAACTGAACAGTTTACAATTGAAATGTATAGAATGTGTATTGAACATTTGGTCATTATATAGCAACTTAATGAATTATTTTTGGGACATTAATTCTTGTAATATTTTCATCATATAATTTATTTATAATAAACCTATAAACACCATACCTTAATATTTATAAATCATAATCATTACAATTTATACTAGGTACTGAATCAAAAATTAAAAAACCGCTTATAATTTTATACACATTCAATTTTTTTAAATTAAACAACTAACTAATTATTTATTAATAGTATGCACTAAGCATAATTTACATTTTCAAATATTTTTTTTTTTGAATTTAATCATTTTTAATAATGTATTATGATTAGAGAGCAAATTTTTATGCACTAAAAGTGTGAAAATATGCAACAAATATGCAAGAAAAAAACATTAAATTGTGTAATATGGTAAAAATAAATAATTTAATAGTTAATAAATGTATAACTCAAAAATAATTTAAAACAAATTAATGAACTCATAATTATAATTATAGGTATCTACTTAATAAGCAAAAAATGCTGTAATTTATAATTTAATATTATTAAAATGCAAATTAATTATTCATTTTAATAATTGTCTTCAAAATGTATTATCAAATGTTATGATTATTTTATACACTTTCTTAAATTTTCACTTCAATACACAATACATTTTGAATTTTTTGAATTTTGTCAAAATATGTAGTAACATGCAAAAAAAACACCATTAGTTTCTACATATTATGATTCGTAAAGATTACTAATGAAAATCCCAAAAATGTGAAAAAAAAAATTTGAAATTTCATAAAAATCCACGCTCTAATCATAAGATATTGTTCTGTTCAGCTTTAAGGATGATCTTTATAAATAATACCTAATACATAATTTTATGATTATATTCTAATGATCTGGCACCGTCTTATTCGATATCTTAAAATAAAAAATATAATATTAAGTATACAAGCAATTGATGGTTTATGAACAAGTTAAATTTAAACATATCATGTTAATAAATATAATTTATAAAAATAAAAACTAACGAATAAAAATCATTCCAACTTCATGCAATACAAATTAATAAAAAAAATAAAAAGTCATAGGTTACAGGGACCAGATTATGAATGAAAATATTGCCTCATTTAGCATAAGAATAAGAAATAATAATTAAACAACTAAATATTATGACAAATCAGTGTTTTTTATAAATTTGAAACTTAATTTCAGTTTTTGATGTAGTATTTACTAATATAAAAATATATATTGTAATATATACTCAATGCTACTATGCATGACGTTTGTTCAACTGTAATTTCTACATGGATAATGTACAATAGTTAAGTTAGGGAAAAATTTATTATAACAGGCGTTTTAATATAAAACTGAAAAGCTAGAGTTTATGACAAAATAAGTGAGTTAATCGTGAGATAATTGGAAATGAATATTTAAAAGATGAATAATAATAATAATAAAAGAAATATAGCTAAGAAGAAATTATAATATGACATACAACATAGTGAACATATACCATATGACGTGTAGTATGCACCATAATTGAAAAAATATGATGGTAATTTGTACCATAGTAAATGCAAGTAAAAAAAAAAAAAATAAAATTGTAAAATCGCACACAATCATTGCTTTGTTTTTTTTTTAGACTAAATTATTTTATGATTTTGTGTTCTTCATTAATTTTAAAAACACAAAGTTTAAATGGTTTTGCATCACCTAATATGCTTATTTCTTAATATTAATTTAAAAACTTAACTAGTTTCTACTTTAATAAATTAAACAAAGTAACAATAAACAAATTATACAGATCGAATATTAAGCTTGGATGTAGATCTAGATATTTTTGGCCACCGACAAATAACTGAAAAAATATATCTATGTAATGGATTTGGACGTTTGTAGACTGTTTGTTCAATTGTTGTCTGATCATTATAAATAGCATCCATTTGATCATACAAAATTGCAATAACAAACATGCCAAAGAGAGCACTTTCCATTATTAAAATTACCGAATGCAAGCTAAAAAACCAACAAAAATTATGTTTTTAAATTAATTGTAAAATAAATACCTAATCTAGAATTTATGATAAAACTATGAATTAAATTTAGTTGTTTTATTAAAAAATAATATAATTTTATAAATATTGGTACAGTCAAAAGCATCCGGAGGGAGGAATACAAATACAGTTGCCCCTTCTTGCCTTTTTTTTTGAGGGCCAATTATCAAAATCATTAGGTAATACAAAATATCACAAATTTGTTTTCTTAAAATGTTTGGATGTTATCTAGGTTTTTTTTAACCGGTGATTAGTTACTAGAGTTTGTTTTGAAAATGATGCTTGGCAACACTCTAGCGATTGATAATTACATTTAGTACTTTTAGACTTAAGTACTCAAAATATTATAATCATTTGGTGATTTTTGCTTAAACATCTAGATATCATATTTAATCTATAGAAGCTCGAAACATTTAATTTTATAAATAACCTAAAACTGTTAAATCAATGTTAACATTTTATTTATAAAAATATGGATTTTTTAATTTAAAGTTGCATTTTAATTAACTAAAATTAATGGTGTAAGATTAAGTTGTAACTATCTACATATTATAATAATTCATACATAATTTTTACATTCCCTACCTATATGAAAGAAAACATGTCACTAACAATACTTTATCACTAATCAGATAGTGAAACCAAAATTGAAAAACGAAAACATTTTGCCCCTTTCTTAACAAATTTCTGCGGATATCCTTGGTGGAACATAATATTTAATATTAAACATGATCTGTAGATGAGCAGTGATACTAACAGTGTACTACAAATTACAATTGTTATTTCAATTACACATAAACTTACACTTGTGTTTGTCTTGTATCCATATCGTACAGTTTACACTGACGGCACTCACGCACCCATGACATTATAACTAACATGATAGTGTATGCAGAAATAATACAAACAAAAAAAAGAAATTGGACGAAATACTTTTGATTTTTTTCTCCAACACAATTATTAATCCTATGTAAAAAATTAAAAAAGTTACATCATAAATAATATTAATAATAAATAAATCATTTAATATTTATTTTTAAATTAACAATTACCATGGACAATGATGATCCATTCGTCTAATGCAGCGCTTACAAATTCGACAGTGATGAGCTCGGGGTGGTCGATATGCTTCACACCTTGTACACATGGTCCAATCTTCTCTTTTCACTAAAGGTTCATTAACTATATAGGTAGGTATGTTCACAAACGTCATAGAAAGGGTCATAGATATTTGTCAACTAATAATTTACAATAATAAAATAATAGTATCTAATAAAATATAAACATACCTTGCCGTAAGTCTGATAAAGAAACATTAGTATGTGATAGAGGTACAGTGCCAGGATCAGAAAACATTGCTCGTAAATGTGATACTGTCAATAGCAAAAGAAATGTATTGAAAAGCACTATATGAAATGGAGCCCATAAGCTAAAAAATATATAATTTGTATACTATAATGTAAAGAAATAATAATACAAATGAATTTCAAAATGATATAACTAAAACGATTTTGTAATAATTTTGTAGTTCTATAAGTATATAGTTAATCTTATTAGAATAACTTGTACCTATTTAAGTTTAAAAATTGTAGAAGTAATTATTCTTCATATAAAATACTTTAAAAAGTAGAAAAAGAAATATTAATACCCAGGTTGAAAAATTATTAGATTGTTAAATGTTGCACTAGGTATGTTTTTACGCATGTAACTTCAGTAACCGCTTTAAAATGATTAAAAAATAGTAAAAATCTTAATGTTAAACAATAAAATAACATTTTACCTGTCTTGCATAGTGTGCAAAACAACCCATTGTATCACTACATAATCAGCGTATATGATTGAAGTATATGTAAATAATATGCAAAAAATGCCACAAGGATCATTAACTAATTTCATCATTTCTGTAGTCTGTAGGTTTTGAACCAGACAAATTTGAATTACATTACTTTTAAAATACTATATTTGATTACAACCTTAAACTTTGTTCCCATCATAAATAATGATAACCAAGTATACTTAAGGAAAATATGCTTATTGCTTTAAGTGCCTAAATACTATTAAAAATTACTGATAATTTAAAACAATAAAACGAACTGAAGTGTTCCTTGAAATATTCATGTTTCATAACATAAAGGTAAATACTAAATTATGTATTTATTAATAATAATATAATACTATACGATTTATGATGTAAGGTAGACCCAGTATCTAGCTAGTATCTACATTGCATTTATTTTACTTAGTGATAAGCTCTACGAGATAATGATAACGAATGGAAATCGATAATAACACAAATTATTTTACCTCCAAAACAAATTTCTTCACGGAAATATTGGTTCATATAACAAACTGAACAAACCAGGACGGATCCAGGGGGGCCTATGGGGCCCAGTTCCCCCCAGACATATTATTTCCTACATTTTTGTAATAATTCTTCAGAACCTGATATTACTATATTTCAAATTATTTAATTACATAATGTATATCTGGTAATATTATATATTATTATACGTGTCATTCTGATTTCTGGGGTGCACAAACTAAAATAGTATTATCTTAGTTCATGGTGGTCAATGATTCCAATATTGTAATTTGTAATTTTACGTTAACAAAAAATCATGTACCCTCCCCCCAGATCTTTGCTCCGGATCCGGCCTGGAACAAACCACATTATTACATAACAGGCATGGCTCCAGGAGACCTTGGGCTGCCCCCCATAATCCAGTATTTCTATAACATTGTATGTTGTTATAAAAACAAAACTACAAAAAAAACATAGGTACCCATAATCATCTATATATAGTATTATATTAGGTATTACGAAAGTTTTTTGTAAATTATGACCCCCCTTCCCTTCACCACCAATCAAGTCCTTGGAGCTTCCCCCACTACATGATACGCCAATAAGGTTTAATATTTGAGTAAGTGTCAGTAGTCAATATAGTATATACTGTAAGTACCTACTCACAACTCTGCAGTAGACTCAGGTCATGATGTTTCATGTATGTATGAGTCATGATCCTATAGTTACTACAATTTATGTGAAGACGAAATGTACCAAGTAAATTCCTTGTAATTTGGATTACTTATTCAAGTTCAAAGTTGTAATATTATGTGGGTCGATAAGTCCTACTAAGTACCACCTATATAAAAATTATAAATACTGTAAAGATCAACAATTAATATTGTTGGAGGGCCACTTTTGGAGTTGAAGTTTTTGATGGCTACCAAAATTCACTTTGGATAATAATAAGATAACAATAACATAGTATTTATGTAATTTAAATTCGTAAGACCAAAAACCTACGCATGGCTAACTACGTTCTACAATGATATTATAGATAATGCAAAATTACTAAAACAATTTAAAAAAGCGAAAATGATTGAGCTACTAAAACCCGGGAAGGACTGACACGAAGCCTCAGATTACCGTCCTACATACTACTGCTGAGTGTTACATAAAAGATATTAGAAAAAATGATATAATTATAACGCAACAACAATAGGTATATCGAAGAGCTTATCTCTTTCGAGACGGACGGGTTTAGGGAATACAAAGGACGCGAGGAGCAAGCACTTACCACAATAATAGAATCTGCAGGATTCCAGAGGAAACTTAAAACTAGTATTTACTTCCATCAATCTACCAACAGCGTATGACCCAGTATGGAGAGATGGTTTTCCGAATAAGTCCGCTAAGGTAATCCCATGCAAGAAGTTTTTTACACTTTTAGAAAGGATGCTTACGAACCACAGCTTCCAAGTATTTATGGGTAATAAAGAAAGTAACTGGCGAACAGTAACTAATGGCCTACCTCAGGGTTCGGTACTTGCCCCATATCTATTTAACTTATATGTACATGACCTGTCTAAAACGGGCTCAAGTGCCAATACGTGGACAATATTGCAATCGCATATCAAAGTAATGATTTAGAGGAGAGTGGAAAAGCCCTTCCCGAAGACCTCATTACTATGAATAAATACTTCTCCAATTGGCGTTTAAAACCAAATAACCAAATCCTGTCAAATCTGAAGTATGTGCTTTTCATCTAAACAACAGAGAATCGAGAAAAGAGCTAAAAGTCATGTTTAAAGAAAAAAAATGAAACACAGCTTCACACCAAGGTATATAGGAATAACGTTGGATCGAACACTTGCAGTTTTAATGAACATCTCGATAGAATCGGGAACCTATGTATGAATAATTGACAAAACCATGAATATTGATAAATTAAGCATTTTGTGGATTTTGGGGGTAGGTATAAAAATGTGTATTGAGCATTTTAGTAGCTTCATAATTTGAAAAATCGCCCCCTCCCTCGAAACATTCCTGTATGACTGTATTAACTATTGGGTATACCTATACATTATATATTGTGGTTATAACAAATTCAAATAAGATAAAATCGATTCTTCAGATGCAGTTATTTTAACAATCATTAATGCGTGAAAGTTAACTTTTTTGGTTGTACCTAATAGGTATTAGGCACCATACATATTTAATATTGCAATACCTATATACATTTTAAATGATATAATAATTACTGCTAAATTAGACAATAGTGTCATTATAATTTAATACGGTTAGTGATTTTATATTTCTCTCTACAATAACTGTAAGTCTGTATCCAAAACATTGTACAATTATATTTTCGTATTAGCTTTCTAAAATCACTGAATAAACGTATAGGTATAAATGATTATATATTATTCCATATTATATACAAGGCGATTCGCCATGCATTCACCACCAACAATTTTGATACAAATTATCTACTAAATAAATATTATTATAAAATAGGAGGGAGGACTATCCTTAAGTAGTTATTACAATAAAAATCTCAAGAACTTAAAAGTATGATATTAAAGTAAATTTAAAAATTCTAAAAATCAGAATTTGAAGAAATTCATAATTAAATGAAAAAATGGGGATGAGCATGTTTGGCAAATCTCCCTCTATTTATAATCTGTGCAGGTATAGAAGTCAGGTATAGTAGTGTTATAACAAAAACAAAAATTAATATATGGTTAGGTAGGTATACAATTAAAGAAATAAACCATGTGAAACAAAATATGGCCCCTCCCATTTCTCGTATTATTATTTAAAAAAATAAGAAATTATCAAGTTTTAACTGTATATAGCTTACTAGTAAACAAGGTCTATTATAAATTCATATACGTTTAAAGTGTTTAAATGGATTTGCTAATCCTATATAAATAAAATCTAGAACCGTGGGAACTGCTCTGCTAGTCTGTTGTAGAGTAGTTAGTAGGAGTCAAATGGGTCATGTAATGGATGTGTTCAATTTGGATACCTATAATACCTATGACATTGTAATATTTTAAGTTTTAACGAAAAACTAATCTGATAGAAAACGGTATGTCAGCCTACAATATTTTATTTTATCTTAAAATTGCTTTTATTTATAAGGTAGGTTTAATTCATTTTTAAAAAAAACATTGTTTAATATATTTTGTATTCCTGTCTATTTTCCCAAACTGACCAGTAATTTTTTTGTAACAGTATAACTAGGTACACTTATTTATACTTATATGAGGGACCTTGTATTAAATGTTCACAACTAAGCTATACAATTTAAACATTTTATTCATTTTTAACTTCAAATGTATTGTGGTTTTGTCAACATTTGGTTTCAGTTGGATCTAAATGCTAAATGCTTATAAAACATAATTGTTCCTATGTGTTGTTAATATTTGTTAAATAGCAAATAGTTTCCGAGATCGATTGGACGATGTGCGGCTAAGTGAAGTTGGCCCTCCAATTTTGAAATGATTCCCACAGCTAAAATTGAAGTTTTGGAAATTCTAAAAGTATTTGCAAAATATTTGTGCCGGTTTGAAATTGAACGAAAAAATTTAGTGGGTCAACTTCGCTGACATCTGGAGCTCGAAGACTGTTGTCGATTACTAATTGCTCTTATATAACATAATATCAATGTATATCATTGCACCTCCGACTTCAGCTGCTATACTTACGATGCTTACGTAACCACTGCGGTATCATCGCGTGAGTAGGTATACAAAATCAATCAATGCTACATGTAATAGTAGATCGTAGATGTGTAGACGGTAGAACCTTAGCCTGCACTAGACCGTAGAAGAACCTACAATAATTCTGGGATCGTCATGTATTTCACCCAAGTGGTTACGTATACTTTCGGTAGCCGCGGTAACGATTCGCCGACCACCGTCACCGTTGAGGTGGGGGTCATGCGACACTTGTAGTGCGCTGATCCGAAAAACAGCAGCGCTGCCGCCGTCGCCGTCGCTTTTCGCCCAAACGCGATCAGCCCGTCGCGGTGCAACGTCCGATGATAACGATAACCCGTTCGCCCGACAGTCAGCAGTCGATCGTCATGGATGTGCTTAGTTGTGCGCGTCGTTAACTTCGCTGCCGTCGCGCTGATCACCGTCTTCTCGTGAACACGTCCATATCTGCAGACTCGTTACGTCGAGAAGTCCGTCCGACCGCGATACTTCGGGGTACCTAGTGCAGTGCTAGAGTGTTGCCCGGGCAAAATTGTTACGTCGATATTCCGTTTTGTCCACGTCGTCAAATATGAATTCCTTCGTGTTGAACAACAACAAGTGAGTTTTGTTTGCGTTGAATACCGCCTGTAGAATATTAATATGTTATGTTGTGATGACTAATTCATAATATTATGATGTTGTAACTGTTGTGGGGGCCAGTTGGTCTGGCCTGTGACCACAGGAGACAAGAGAACGTTGGGTTTGGGCCAAATTCTCAGGTCATCCCTGGGTAGCAGCTGCTGGCCATAACCGTTCATATAATTATGTTTTCTAAGGTCAGGGATAACCGATCCACAAGGATTGAAACTGCAAACAGGCATTGTACCGTACATGTCGATGACAACTTGCTTTGTGTACCGCTATAATTGGCACCCAGTTGGGGCATTTGCCACCTTTTTTAATATGAATAGGTACATTAGTGTAGTACCTAACTAAAAATTGAAGATTTTAAGAAAATCAAGTTTTTAATATCATAATATCATAATATTATTATACTATACTATACAGTTTAACGCACTCAATTTTTCTAGTACCTATGATGTAATATGCTAGTGCATTGTAAATAATGTTTTTTTTTACTATAAGAAAATATGTGTACATAACTCAAAATCTTTAATTTTTAAGCGATTTTCAAGTTACTACAAAAATGTACTCGCAGTACTAATTA